TATTGGCACACAAACTTTTGTGTTCGTTTTTTAAAGCCATTTAAGCTTATATCATAACAATAAATATACTTTATGGGGTCGGATATGTCTCCATATCGGAAATGTATATATACTGGATGGGGTCGCAAATGTCTCCTTTACTGCGTTGCTAACCTAAGACGGAAAATATAACATCCTCTGTAATGGTTAAAAAATCAGAAATGGATAAGGCCCCTTTACCTTGTTGAACAAGTATAACACCCAAGGTTATTGTAAAAAAAAGAAAAAAATCAAAATTCATAACAATGGGTCCGGATTCAAATTCATTTGTTTGAAAATAGAAAAATTTTATTAAATTATCAAAAGGGAAAAGTAGTATAAAAGATATAAAAGAACAATTAGTTTCTGCTACTAATGTAAATTTTTTGGGCCGTAGTTTCTAAATTAGCAAATCATATCAAAAAAATTACTTTTTTATTTGAACTCATTTCGTGTCAGAGAAATCCTAATAGAATATAATAAAGACTACATTCAAATTCAGAGTTTGAACTTACCATTGCTAAAATTAATTTAATAAAAATTTGAAAATCGAAACAAGTCTAACTGCAATTTCCAAGTTGAAGATTTCAAAATAGCCTAAGTGTAGCTTTTGTGGATAATGTGGTTGTTATTCAAAAGTTACTGAGTAAATTAAAAGTACGTAAAAAATATGTTCTTTAAAAACTAATATCAAAGTTTAGTTATCAACAGTTTAATTCTCGGCAGACGCATGCTCCATGCGCGTTCCTTGCTCTCTCAAAATACATACATTTATACATATTTGATATTTTCAACACATTTGATTTGTTATTGTTGCAGGGGTGGCTGGTTGTGTTTTCAGTTCAATTGATGTGGTGGTTAGATACATTGTTACAAAGCTATTTGAGTGCATTTTTCTATTTCTATGGATCTTCTGCTAACTTACATGCAATAAATGACTTTGTATGCATTACGCGGTTATCACAATTCCATTTTCATTTCAATTTCTTGTTGTTTTGTTTTTAGTTTTCATTTTCGGTCAATACAATTACCCTAATGTATATTGCAATAGTTTTATTGCTTGCATAGCTCTGTCAACTATGTTACGATAAATTATGAATTATAATCAGGCTTTTCAGTTATACAGCTAGAAACTTCGGGGATTGGTCTACAGTTATGCAAGAATAGTAGTAGAAGAATGCTTGTAACGTACTTCATATTCTCAGAAAAATTAAAATTAAAATTACGAAATTAAGCAGCTTTCTGCCGAAATGTCACATCTGACTGTTGTCCTGGGATACAGAAGCTGGAGCTCGTTGTGGCTCGACAAGAGGACTAGCTACTGCCGGCTTACCAGCACTTAACTTTGCCTTTACTTTAAGCAACAAAGCTTCGAAAGAGTCTTCCTGTACTTTCGGTGCTGGTGCCTCCTTGGGAAACACATACGAGTGGTAATTATTGATACCAGCATTATCTAAAACGAACAAATTAGGGACAAATTAAGTACGTATCATAGAGCATGAAACATTTCACTTACCCAAGTCAGCGTAGGATGCACGACAGAAAGCACGTCTTCCTCCAAAACTTATATCATACATGTTAATTTGCGAGTCTCTAGGACTCGTGTCGATGGCCGTGAATGCGTCCTGCGCTCTTTCGTAGGTGACAAACCCGTATTTCATTCTAATATAAAATATAATTAGTTGTGGTTTTAAATATTTGTTCAGACTTTTCCCTCTTACCCATTTTCTTTGTAATGTATTGTTATCTGTTTAATGCTTCCATAAGGCAAAAATTTTCGACGTAACAGTTCCTTTGTGGTCTCCTGCTCAATGCGACCGACGTAGACGATTCGCCGCTCCTCTACGGCCGGTTGCGAAACGTTACGATCGGTGAATCCGCGTCGATTGTTGTTATTAGGGCAGTTATTATTAGGGTAGCGCGAGCCAGACCTTGAACGCGAGCGGGAACGCGAGCTGCGTAGTTTGTTGTGCGGACTGCGGCTACGTTCGCGATCGCTTTTCTCGGAGCCGGAGCAGGATGAGGAGTCGCTGGCCCTCTTTTTGTTTTTGGAACGTCGCTTGTTGTAGCTAGTGCGACGTTGTCTGCGCTCGTACCTGCCTGCCTCTGAGTAAGATGAAGAGCTCACTGAGCTGCGATGGCGCTGAGTGCTGCGAGAAGAATAACCGCCGTTCCCAGTACTGCCTCCCAAAAATGTTGCTGCTGCATCCAAGTTACGCAGCTGCTCAATTGAATCGGATCGCGATCGAGATCTGTATGACACAGAACTGTTACAGTCTGAGGATGAGCCACTCGAAGAATTGGACACATTTGAACCCGAGCCATGGGGTCGTCGCTTGCGGTAATTACGTCGTGTACGTTCTCGAGACTTTCGTGTTGGAGGAAGCGACAAGAGTGGGAATTCCGGTTGCAGATCAGTTTGGGTGGCAATGGTTACAAGAGTTTTGCGCACCCGGTCTTTGGGCAAGTGCATAATTACCATGTCTTCGCCATGCTGAACATTTTTGTCAGTCGAACTCACAGCTTGTGTGGCAATGGACGGTATCGTCGCGAGGGTAGTGCTACTGGTTTGTCTGACAACTTCACTTTGTATGCTAGCAATTAGGGAGTTGCTTATGTTCTTAGTGGTATCTTGACCGTTAGATATGTTGTACAGCAAGACTGATGACTTTAAAAGAGAACGAGGGGAGGCCTTGCTTAATTGATTAGGCGGTATTGTTATGTCCGTATTGCAACTAACTGAAACTATTATAATCTCCTCATAGTCCGAGTGAAGTTTGTTGCTGGGTGGACAAATCACTGGATCGGGATCTTCAGTTTCCATACAATAGGTGTCCTTGACAATATCCTTAAGTGGCGGCAACTTAGTTACCCGTGGCACCTTGGCTGATACGCGAGAATCGATTATCTTTAGCTGTTGAGCCCGTTTCATCTCTAGCATGCGCAACACCTTGTTCTTGGCTACTGTAATCGGATCCATAGGCAAAGAAGTTTGTTCTTTACTGGGGCACTTCAGGCTGTTAACAATGTTCACTATTGCTGCTTTCTGAGGCGATGGCGTTGGCTTTAAAACAGGGGAAGGAGTGGAAAATTTGCTGGCCACTTCTAGTTTCGCCTGCTTTGCCGGAGTCGGTTTGCTTTTTACGTTGCCAACGCCGCCACATCGACGCTGTTTGTACTCTTCCAGATTTAACTTTCGCTTTGGGGCTGGTGTCAGTGTCGCAGTCGAGGTTATCGCGGAGGTTAGTTGTGCCGAAGATTTTTCTGGCGCACTCGCTGACACTGCGGCGTCTCTTTCCTGCTTAAGGAGTGAAAGGTTTTTTCCACCCAAGCCTAGACCTGTACATGGAATTTGGTTTGCTGGCGGCTGCTTGTTACTTAACAATTTTGAAGCCTCGTTCACTTTTTTGGGTGCTATCTTAGATGGCTTGGACAAGAAGGTCCCTCCAACCTTTCGCTTAAGAAAGTCACACTGCTTTTTATTGGGCACTAGGCAAATATTTGCAGGTTTCTGTTTGCTTACAGTTGGAGCTGCGAGTTGATGGGTCTCCTGTTGCATGGGTTTATACTGTGCGAAATTTGACAGAATCTTTTAATAATAATTTTTAATTAATAACTTAGCCTTACTTCTTACCTCTTTAACAATATGCAAGGTCTTCTTGGGACACCAGGAAGGGTCCGCACTTACATTGTCCACATAGCTCAAATCAGTGGAATTTGGAACTGATTCCGTTGTCTGACCAGTTGCCCAAATAGTCTCATCCACATCGATAACATCGACAGTTTCAACGTCGATAATTGAGTCCGAGTCATAATCAGAGTCCCTTGCCTTGGCGGAATGAACTTTTGGTTTTACCACAGTCGTTGCCACGGATGGATATAAAACTGGGATTACTACTGCATCAGTATTAGGCTTAGGTGATTCCTGTGCTTGCAGAGTCTCTTTTATGCGACAGGCGTTTAGATTTTCGGCAAAATCATCTTTGGTAATAAAGTCAGCTAAGTCAAAGTTATTGACGTCGATATTTAGTCCGAATGCATCTACTTCTGAGATAACTGTGTTTGTACTCAGCGTTCGTCCCTTGCGCTCGCTGGCGCTCTGCGGGGTGACGATTTTGTCATTGACGGGGAACAAACTTTGGTCCTGATCCTCGTTGCCAATATCATATTCGTCTTCGTAGTCGCTGGAATGCGACTCATAGTCACCAATCGATGAGCTGTCAGTGCGGGTCCGAAATGTGGAGGCACTGCACTGGCTCTGTGCGTCCTCCTCTTCTGTAAGACAGTCAATTCCAACATCTCCTCTGTCATACTCTACAATAGCGCTTATCTGACGCTGCTGCTCGTAGGCCACCTCGACGTCGCTGTCGGTGATGGCCTGGTAGACCTGTGCATTAAGCACGTTTGCATCTTGGTCGCCCAGCTCCTTTTCCACAAAGTCACTGTAGATCAGCTGTTCAAAGAATAAGTTTCGATAGAATCCGTGACCACTTGAATGCCTTTCAAAACAAAACCTACCAGATTCTTTCTGTTTTGCAGATCCTCCTCGCGGTTGGTGCCGAGGAGGGACTCATCTGTGGGCACAATGGGCAGAATACCGCTAAGTGTATCTGTCAGTTGTAAACTGGGAGTATTGCATGAGTTTGTGATCATTTTGTCAATAACAGACACTTACTCATCGTTAGATGACCAGAAATTCGGATCAGATTCGTATTTGGCGTAGTTTCCCTCAAAGGGATCTTCTTGGAAAACATTTAGCATTCGGGAATCCATAGCTGCTTACAAGTTCTTCAGCGTATACTGCAACTAAATAAAAACATATTAATTTGGGGCTCTTGAGGTCCAAATTAATCAAAGCAGCTTTTTCGTTATCAATCCAACCACATGTACGTTTTCAAAAGCCAAACATCAAATACATATAGGCCTGTTGGATAATTGACGTTTTAAACTCACATCGTATTAGATCTGATACCAAACGAGAAATGCCAAAAAAAGTGATAACAAGGCGTCAGCGCAAAGCTGCAGAGTCCAAGCGAAAAGCTGAAGAAGAAGCGCATCAGAAAGGACCTGGACCCTTACCAACGGGTGGTGTGAATCAATGTGATGAACCTCGGTCGGAGGTGGCAAACCTTCTGACGCAATCCCAACTGTTCTTACTGCATCATCAGCTAGAGATTTAATGGTAAGCAAAAGAGCTGAAGAAATGCCTAAGGCGATTTTGGGTAGAAACAAGAAGGATGACAAGACAGAACTACTGACTTCGAACCAAGCTGGCGATAAATTACAGAATACGGAACAACCATGTGATGCTCTGCAAAAAATTCGAAAATCTAGTTATAGAAAATCATTTCTCTCGGAGGTCAAAAAAAGTGCCTTGAACTTGGAACAAGTTTTTACTACCTCTACTACCTGGTATGACCAGAATAACAAATCCCTTTCACAGGAATCAATGACAGCCAGTAAAGCGACTGACACTATTAATATTAGAACAGCTGCTAACTCGGTCTTCCCATTGGTATCCAAAATTTGCAAACAAATTAAGTCTCATTTGCATACGGTCCTTCCCAAGCGAAACGGTCTGGGGTCAAGTCCCCAACATCTAAGGGAAAAAGGAGCCCAGCGAACTCCAGATTTTCAGTTGAAGGTCAACGAGCTCATGAGTTTAAAGACGGACCCTTTGCTAGGATCGGGGATAAATATCCAAAGTGATCAGAACCTCGAAGGAGAAAGTTGGACCCCGGCTGTCCTTCCAATGGAGCCGAGATCGGAGACAAATCCGAGCTCTGGGTACGAACCACTAAAGGTCTTGGGCAACACGGGCTACTTTATTTTGACAGGCACCAATGCTCGGCAGGCCCTTCAGCTTACTGAACTTGCGAGAAAGAACGTTGATGTCCAATCATATTTGCAGCTACCATCCGAGATGATGGAACAAGTAGAAGAACAGCTAGTTGAGCTCGACAGAAACCGTGAACAAATTCTGGAGAAGATGCGTAATAAGCATACAATTCTGGCACTGCCACGAGCATCGCGAGAAAAGAAGCAGCAAAAAACAAAGAAACAAATCTAATCATTTTTAAGTCTTAATACCGTGAAACCAAATAAAAGGTCCAAAGAATGCAAACAAGCCTAAATCAATTCGATGTGTTATTAATTTGGTTTATTTTCCCGTTACTCGTAGAGTAAACGGATATATTGTCTTCGTTGGAAAGAAGTTAACAGGTAGAAAACTTTTTTGACCATACAACCAGAAAAATTGAGAGCGAAAATAACCGAGATCGATTCATCTTTTCACTTTTTTTCGATATCGAAACGAAAGCAAGGTTGAGTTTGGTTTTAGAGTCAAAAAAATCTCGGGTTTGAGGCTGTAGAAGGGGGACGTGAGGAGAAGGCATAGAAAAAATCGGAGCGGGAGGAGATGTATAATACATATAAGTAGGTGCCGGAGTTTCTTACGAGTGCCTTAGCAACATAGGGGATGTAATGTATCCGAATAACCTCAATAATGAAATGAAAACCGTTAGGATAAAATATACACAGTGTAGCTTTAAAAAATTGAGCACTTTTATTCAAGAATGGAATCTGGAAGCGAAAATCGACATGAAAGTCATCTCCAAATCGAGCTCGAAAAGAAAACAACCGATTTCCTGCAAGCATATCTTCATATATCTTGCACTCCCTTTAGCTTAGTAACGGGAATCAAACAGTCGAAGCCAACGACTATAGCTTTTTCTCTTGTTTTAAAGATAATTTTGAGTATTTCTTAAAAATGAAATTTCACTAATAGAGGGAACTATCCCAAATAATTCCAGTCTAATTTTCCCCACAGGTTAGTTTACACATATATTTTAAATTATTTGTAACCGTATAATAACATTAATAAGTAAAATGAACTACGGTAATACTCTAGATTAGAGGACTCACCCCCAAAACTCGCGAAAAAATTATCCTCGATGGACCGCGATTTCTTAAGAATTTACGAGCAAAAAGACATGTTCGGACATGGTTCTCTTTAATTAAATTTCAAAGTTCCCGGTTTTGCAAAAAAAAGTGTGCCACTTAAATGTTGCCATGGTTTTTATACAAAACAAAGTGACAACTCTGCTTTCAACGATTCAAGAGTAAATGTGGAGAAACATCAAAGCATCGACGTATTTAAATTTTTAAAATGTGTTACTGAATAAGAAGGCAATTTATGTTAATTTTACTATTATACATATTATATATATATTATATTATTATATATATAATATATAATTATATAATTCTTTTGTTTTAGGCGAGTAAAGACATCTGCTGAAAACTTAATGAGGTTGCCTGCAAATACTTTTCATACCAGCGATTTCCTGTGAGGAGCTTTAGTAAGTGGACAGATCCAGTCGAATCGTTACACAAGGCTTGAAGATAGATGTGGTGAAGAAGCAGATGTATATCAATAAAAACCAAACCATTTTTAACAGATCTCTAAGAATAAGATAATCTCTTGGTATCTCTTGCATGAAGTTAATTTCGGGATTTCAGAATAAAGTTTTTGTTTTAACATGAATCATATAAGTTTCGTTAACGTATTTTTATTTCTACTTATTTACTCTAAAATAAATATATCTTTTTAAACACCAAGATTTTTGTAAAAACATTGATTACTGCCATTTTTATTCAACATTCTCAAGGTTCCTGAAATGCTAAAATTTCTCAAAATGCAGTTCCAAGCTCCATAATTTTGCGAAATGCGAATATCATAGATACGATATTTCAAAAATTTTCGCTAACCCTTCTATATAAAATAGGCGCCAAATCAGCGAGAATCGTTGACTTGATCATGTATGTTGTCTGCCCAACTTTGGCATATTTGAACCGCTTGTTCCATTTACAATTATAAGAAAGTGACTACAAAATGTCGTAAAAAGTAGGACAAATTTGTATGCGATTGTAACAAATAAGAGTCGCCCGATTAGTGCCGTTTTAAACTGTATCTGCGTGCACATTTAATATATTTATTTGACGATGTTAACGACAATTGGGAACGTTTTCGTAAAGTAGTTTTCATTTTTGAATTTTTTTTGCTTTAAAGGTGGCTAGAAAGTAGCCGTAAAACAGCTGGAACGGCAACTCCGCGTGGCATCTGCAGTAGCCCCCTAAAACAGCACCCTTAAGACATCACCAGCAACAGATCAACAGGTTGGGAACTAGCGTTTGATCAACCTTATATTATGACAACGTTAATCGAACTTAAAACCAACTTCAAAAACACGGGAAGCCGACAATAACAAACATGCGCACACTCCTCAGCGGGAAGAAGAAGCAGCCCGCACATGTGTTGCCCCAACCACGTGTAAGTGTGTGCCCGCGATGGGAGTGTGCGTAAATGCCGCCGCCACGCCATGTGCTTTTGATTTTTTACGAACAACAACCGAATCGAATACTTCTCGCAGGTCTTCACAAGCACCTTTCACATTTTGTCACATTTGTTTGGAAAGCTGTTTTCTTGGGGAGCTGCTTTGAGGCAACAGGCGAAATACAGAGCGGATCTCGTTCCAACTCGCTATCAGCAAACTTAAGGGTCCGCCGTGCAACATTACCTTCTGAAATCGCAACTGCTCGCAGCACAGGATCACTCTGTTATTAAAATGTGGGCCCACGCTAGCCGAATCGTTTCGTATTTGTTGCCGCCGTCTGTTTGTCCGTCTGCTTTAACCTCACATGTTCAGCGCCGCGTCTGCAGCACCCTCACAAGCACAGGCCTTATTCGGCCGACAGCCAGCAGCAGCCTTTATGCGTCTCCGCCACTCAAAGGACACCCACTGTTCAAGGTTGGCCAACGTCACTTCACCACAATGCACCCACAAACACTTTATCTCATGAGTCGGGAATCACACATTGCCCAAAATATGTTCACGTGGACCGACTTGTTTCGCGGCAGCGGAGTAAACAGTGTGGCCATTCATGAGTCTGCTGACAATCCTAAACCAAGTTCTGGCAAAAATACCGAGCAAGGGCTGGAGAAGTATGAATGGTCCTTATTTTAGCTATAACCGATGTCTTGGTGGTACATTTTATAGCTACTTATTTAAACATTCAACATTATTTACAGAAATACGTTTTATTTAATTTAATATCTGACCATGGCTTACGAAAATAAAGGTAGGGTATGGATATTCCTTAACTGTTGAATTGTTTAATTTTCGTCAGCTCTTTATCAGCTGATCCATACAAACTCCATTTTAAACCAAAGCTTTCCCCTTATATTATTAAAAAGCAATGGCAGCCCTTCCTGTATACCAGTATGCATTATTTACTTTAAAATCAATTTAAAAAGTATATATTTCTTATTATTTTATTAATAACTTTAGTCACTAACCTATGCTGATAAAAAAAGATAAGTTTTTACTTCCGAAAAATTTTAAAACAAGTCAGGGCTGCTAGAAAATTCAATAGGACCATTTGGGGTCGTGCCTTTGATTGCTTATGTTTTCTGTTAAATTTTTAACATTTCAGCAATTCAACAGTAGGGAATACTTAAAGAAATACAGCCGTAAGATTTTGTTGAAACTTTAAACCAATCGGTATATTTTGAAAATATCTGTCTGAAAACTAACCCGTCGATATCGATTAAAAATAATAGAGCATTATTATTATTATTAATATTATTAATCCTAACGCTTATTGGTGTCCAAAAGTGAATAAAAGCTGTTTACAAAACAAAGTATTTGCGCCCTTGGAAAAGAATACTATTGATAATTTAGAACGTGTTTATTTTATTCGAAAGTACTTTAAGGAGTAGCGGTTCACTGACTAACTCCTTTTTAACTGTCTGGCACAAGCATTGAATAGATTTAGTATACCGAGCCGAATAGGCTCTATTCCAATAAAGTACAAATCGGATAAAATGAAAACTTATAAAGATTATTATGTTGCGTATATACGAAAATGCCGGGCAACTACGAATCAATAAACGAAGATCCGGAGCAGTTTAACGACGCTTGACACTGGTCCATTCACCATCATCGGCGGCTTTGTTCTCTAAAAAATATAAAATGTTATGAATGTGTCCCCTTAACCTGGCGGTAAGTCATAAATTAGGGTGGGTCGATTTGGATGCCTGAAAGTCGTACGATCTGTCACTTTTTTAGGCCCCATACTAATCGACATGCCCTACTACTCACCCTTGTCTTGGGGTTGATCACGTTTGGCTGCGGGCTTTTCCTCGCGAGGTGCAGGAGCCGTACGCCAGTTGCCGCCTCCGCCGCCACTGACTGCTTCTTTAGGAGCAGGTCCGCGAAGATCCCCTCGTGCGTCGCGCACATCACGATCGCGCCGTTCGCCAGTCGTACGGCGATTTTCACGATCACCCTGACGTGGTGCGTCGCGCCAGTTGCCGCCAGTCTCGCGCTGAGGCTCTTCAGTACGACGTGGGCCTTCGTTGCGACGGAATCCACCGCGGTCATCTCGATCATCTCGCTCCCGGCGCGGTCCATCGTCACGGTCACGGCGAGGTCCATCATCCCTATCCCGGCGAGGTCCATCGTCCCTATCCCGGCGAGGTCCGTCGTTGCGGAAGTCGCGCTCTCGCTCTCCGCCACGTCGCCACTTGTCGTCCCGGGATTGGGGAGCTCCACTGTCTTTGGGGACAGCAGCACGCTGGGAATCTGGCTCACGTCGTACGCGCCATGAGGAGTCCGCTCCTTCGTTGTCCTTGCGATCACGGTCTCCTCCACGTTCCATGCGTTCTCCACCACGTTCGACGCGGTCTCCGCGTTCGATGCGCTCTCCTCCACGCTCAATACGTTCGCCTCCACGCTCTATACGTTCACCTCCCCTCTCGATACGTTCCCCACCCCGGTCGTTGCGATCGCTGGCCGCAGGCGCAGCTCGACGCCACTCCCCGGCACCGCCGGCAGAGGCACTTGGACGGTCACTTCCACGGGGACGCCAGGTGTCGCGTTCCTTCTCGGTGCGTTCGCGCTCCACGACCACCTCCCGGGCTAGACGCTCACGGTCTTCCTTGATTTTGCGCTCGGCCTCCTCCTCCTTGGCACGCTGCTTTTCGTACTGTGCGCGCCGCTTCTCGTCCTCGGCCTCACGCTCTAAACGGCGGGCCTCTGCTGCGGCGCGTTCCTCGGCAGCCTGAGCCAAGCGAATCTCCTCCTCTTTTCGGAGACGCTCTTCCTCCTTTTCGCGAATAAAAGCCTGGCGGCGCTCTTCTCGGCGTCGAACAATGCGGTCAGCC